CCCATAGCAGTGAGATACCTAAAACCAGGGTATAATTTTAAGAAGATTTACTCAAAGCCAATTGCACTGAGTAGGAAAAGTCCACTCTTAACTTTCACTGAATGACTTTACCCACCCCTCATGTATTTTTTACCTCAGCCTTTCAAACTGAAATTCGAGTTTGTACAGCCCCAGCTCCTGTGCCTGCAGAGAGGTACTTCCTTCTATGTCCATTTTGAAGCACACGAGGCATTGTGTAAATTCTAAGCCCAAGTGCCCAGTGCCTTTCCTCCTGTGCACTCTGCTGCACACTGGAAACACTGCTTCAGTTCCAGCTCTGATTTCCCTTTTCAGGACAGCAAGCACATGCCATGTTTTCCACCTGATGTCTGAAAATCACAGATCAGGAGAGAACTCCCATCCCTTGAAGGATCAATAGTTTTTGCAGGTGATAGTTTCCATCTATCTGACAACAAGATAAACATAGAGGCAGAAATTGAATTAGAAATGCACTTTAAGGAGGAATTTTTTCATGTCTCCCTTAAATTTTGTTTTGTTTTTCTTGAAGTCACAGTAGTAACTCTGCTATCGTTATTTCCCTATTTTCAGCCAATTAAAATATTGTTGGTTATACCATTAGAAGAGAATACGATATGCTAAGTGGCTTTAGGAGCTGTGGATGCTTTCATTGTTTCCTATTAATTTTTCAAGGGACCTTGGTTAATCTGCCCTTTAACCCAAATTCAATTTAGATTATTGAAAAAAGAGGGGAAAAAACCATACCCCATTAATAATGTCTCTTAATGCATTGGATGGTTTTCCAGCAACACATGTTCTATGTTTTGTTACTTTAAATATATGCAGTTTCATTTTAGGAAGATTCCCCCTAGGAAGATTTCTTTTAGGATGCCTGAATTCTAAATGTCCTTTCTATATAAGTATACAATATGGAAAAAAGACAAACCTAACCCAAGCCTGTTAGAATTGAATTTGGCATTTAAGAACATTGAGCATGTGGTGATGAGTTTTGTAGTAGAAATATACAACAGAGAAGGTCTTGTGCAGTGGAGTAGAAGCGTATAAGTTTCTAGCTGATTTGGGAATTCTGTTAGATCATGATCCATAAAGTACCAGGTCCAAGTACTGATACTCCCAATTTGAAATCACAAAGGTATGAAAAGCTACACAGCTACAGCCAATAGTAATGCTGCTTCCCTGAGGAAACAAGGGGTTGAAGTTTTGTTTTCCTAACTAATTTCTCTGGAATTCACTTTTTTGCACTGTCATCTGTAACACAGACCAGGAATCTTATGAAAAGCCTCCCCTGCAGCCTGAATTTTGTCCCAGACTAAAAACTGCTATGAATACTCCCCAGAGAGCCCCTGCTCATGGGCAGCTGTCAGTCACTTGTTCTTTTGCTTCTTGAGACAGGTTAAACATTGACCTTGATCAGCTTCTGCTTCTTCCACCATTCTGCTCTTTCTCTTAAGGTTCTACATCTGCTGATGTTTCTGGTTTTTTTTCTTGAGCTTCGATGACATCTTTGTTCTTCACTATGGTTAATTGGCATTGACTCATTTATCCCTGCTGTGTTCTGTTTTCACACTTTGTGTTTGTGGTCCATATACTCACCCTCAGAATAATGGCCTCTGAGTAATTGATAAAACAGAGTTTTCTTGAAATCTTTAGATCTGAGCTATTTTCTGGACAGAATAAGAGATCTTTTAGACTTTACAGAGACAAACCACAGACTATTAGCTCAACCTGGACAACATCCATGTAGGAAAATGGGTCCTTTTAATACCCCAGACAATTACACATGTGTTTTATACAGAACAATATGACTTACAATTCAGTTCCTGCATCTTTTCATCTTCATGGATCTTCCCAAGCTTTTTCCCAACCAAGTGTATCATATCATTCCAATGCTCACAAGAAAACACTGTCACGTAATATCAGTGGTATATTTCCTGCAGTAAATGAGAAAAGGATAAGACCTGAAGTTCTGAGAGTTTATCCTTACCAGAAATAGTCCACAGCATTTTCTGTGTGCCTGAAAAGAAACTTCAATACAACAATGGCTTCTCAAACCAGGACTGGAGGCCCACATAATCAGTATCTGGTGGCAGGTGTTCCTCAGGTTGCTCCACATAACAACTTCTTATCTAACAGACACAAGTTTGAAATTATCAAAATACAAATGAGAGCAGAATTTGGCATCATCACTGCTAATATTCTTCCCTTGGTTACATGTTCCTCACTCCACCTGGAAGTAAAGAATATTGCTTGCTGACTTCTTTCATACTTCCTCTCTCATTTTTTTGAGCTTTCTAATTATTGTACTATGAAAGAGAAGGGAAAATACCAAAGGCAGGCACGAGGTGGAAGAAACAGATTCCCAGGATTCAGCATCATCAAGTAACTTGTCAACCTGACTGCTTTCCAGACATGAAAAAATTGCCTGAGAAAAGGAGAGGAGAGGAAGAAAACACAGATAGAGAAGGCCCCTTTAATCTAGCAAAAAAGAAGAATCACAGGAACCAAATTGAAGCCAGACTAATTCGTATGAAAAATAAGTCAGTAACAAAGATAATTAACCACTGGAATAGTACAGAGGGAAATTGTACAATTATTTCCTATGTCCTGATATCTTCAAATCAGGACTCTATTCTTTCTGTAAAATATGCTTTGATCAAAGACATTCTTGGACTTGACACAGAGGGGGTCAGCCTAGATAAGGTGGTCATTCCTTGAGCCTAAAACTCTACTAATGTGTACCTTCAGAGAGAAAGGCCAGACTGTGGTTGCAGCCTGGCACAGGGACACCAGAAATTTTGGTCCACGGCCTGGCTCTGTTACAGATTTCCAGAATAATCACAAGGAAGTTGTGTAATTTATCTGTGCCTCTGTTCACCATCTGTAAAATCTGGAGAATAATCCTTCTCCTGTTCTAGTTTTTAGCTATTTGGGATATGGAAAGCAACTTATTAAGTGTGGGTACAGACCTTGCCTAAGGTCTGCAAAGGCAAGTGTGCAAGCATCATTGCAAAGCACAGATATCCATAGGGAAAATGTGATGCTGCAGAAGGAAAATATATTAGTGGGGAGATAAACAAATGCCTTTCTTTCAGCAGTAGCCTCCTGAGTGCAGTTAAAAAGCAACATGTCAGAGTGTGAGGATGGTCACTCAGCCAGAGAATTATGATTTCATCTCAGGATGCTTCTGGATACAAATAGCATCCAAGACCTCTTCATGAGGGAGCCTCTCACTTCCTCCAGTGGCATTTGCAACATTGCAGTCATTTATGTTCTCAACAACAATAATCAAATGACCAGTGTCTGCCTCTATCCACGCACAATGAAGACTTGTGCTCTCTTTGCTTAGCTAAGAAACTTTGTGAGCTTCTGCCAAGTGAAAGATCATTTTGAATGGCTGGAACAAATTCAAACCATGTCCCAGGGAGCTGGAAGGCTCACAGGCCTTGTCCACTGCCCAGCTGCTCCTCCCTTCCCTACATCTTCATTGTGTCTGTTGGTCTCTATCACTGCTGGAGCTAAATTAGCTGCTGCTCCACCTGGTAGCTGGACACTCTTCCAGCTTTGCCCTTCTCCTGTCACTGAAATATGAATAGCCTTTCATGGCATGTAGGAAGTGGGTTTTAGGAAATGAGCTGAGCATGAGCAGGGCTTCTACTCAGCCAGGGAGAAAAGGGCTGAATCCCAGCTGGAACCTCTGAGCAACATCTCAATGAGTCCTTATGCTCTGAGTTATGCCTGCTCCAGAGAGAATGGGGACTTACACAGCAGTCTCTGCTATGATTCCAAGTACACAAGACATGATCTTTGCTCCAGAAACTTCTGGGTTCAGTCCCTGGTGGTGATCAGCATGGAGCTGCATATGTGTGTGTGCATATATACATATACATATCTATGTGTGTGTATGTGTGTATATATATAAAATAAAATATAATATAAAATATTATATATATAAGAGGGAAAACACTTCTTTATCTATGAAAATTATTTCTTTTTCTATGAATAGAACTATTTCAGCTCTGAGATTTACTCCTAATGAGATATTTTATTTAAACAGAGAAAACAGAACTTGCAAAAGAGAGCAGTGGCCACCAGCACCCAGATTTTCTTGGGCTATGTTAAGGGTTGCAAGGAGAATAATAGGCACCATTGTTTCCAGTTCCCCACTACTCCTAAAAAGCCTCATCAAGCTACAGGCATGACCAATGTCAGAATAAGGCACTGAAAGGGTGCCTTATGAGGGTTTGGAGAAGGAAAGGAAGAGACACCTGTTGGGATGAGTGGAGAACCGTATCCGAAATACAGTGAGACACAGCTCCAGAGAGCTAAAAGATGCACTTGTGTTATCCTGCCAAGTCCTCCTTGGCACAATGTCTGTGTCTGTGATCCTCTTAGTCTATCGCTGGTTCCCTGCGATATGTGTCTATCTGCTTTCTCACGGCTGCAATAAACCCTTCCACTGCACTAATCTCATTTAACAGTTCCACTGACTTGAAAAGAACCCAAGTAAAATTGCTGTGCAATTTCTGCTGGCGCTATTATGGCTGCATCACTTGTCAGCTTTCATAAACAAGATAAATATAGTTAAAGCATCAGATAGGAAGAAATTTGGCATGTTACAGCAACTCATCAGAAATATTTTTTTAAAGATACCTTGTAAAAAAACCCCAAGAGAATGCCAGAGAGGATAAAAACTTCAAATTCATCTTTTTGCAAAATTCTTTTGTCCAAGGAGGCTGCAAGAACTCAGTGTACACTGCCTTTCCAACACACACAGCAACTGGACCCGCACTGATTCCCTAAAAGCAGTGAGTTTTGATATCAGTCTCTGCATCTCAGATTGCATCACTGGGATCCAGCTACCTGGAGGGTAAAAGGCAGAACATCAGGAGGCATGCAAAGCTGGAAGGAGGGGGGGAAATGTTCCTGTTCCTCTTAGCAGGGGAAACCCCTACTCAAAAGTGATTTGTGACGTGTTTTCACAGCAAGAGGACACCCATCTGAAGGGCCTGTGAAAGACCATCCCCCATGCTTCCCCACACAAGTTGTTGGTTTGTGCCTGCAGCTACTCCGGGCTCCAAAGAAGACAAGAATCTCCCCTCCAGCACCTGCAAGAAAAGACCAAGCCCAACAGATCTCCCCACGCCCAGGAGGTGCCCACGCTCTGCTCTGCTCCCTTACCACCTCCAGGAGCAAGGTGATGGAGAGGCAGGAAGGTAAGAGCACAGCCCCACAGGTGCTGACCAGGCTGTGCAAGAGGCGTGGGAATGCCTTGCTCAGGGACAGTCCTTGGGGTAAATCTGGGCTCCCCCTTGCCCTGAGCCCCCTCAGAGCACGTGGAGGTCAAAACAGCATCAGCAAACACGAGTCAGCTGTGCTGGGACCTGGGCCCACGGCTCCAGGGAAAGTAGGTGCTCTGGAGGAGATTCAGGGATCACAGGAGACACTGTATTAACTCCTAGCCAGAGAGGAATATACCAGCCCTAAAATAACTGAATTATAAAGGCCAGTGACAGAGGTCGAGACATTGATGCTCAGAAGATGAAGTAGCTGGTTTTTACTGAGTGCTATCTAGTCAATAAAGTACTCCAATAATGATACACCTCTCATCACTTGTGCAGCTGTAAAATAGAATGGGACAGATTTTCAGCATTAGGAAAGTTTAGGACATTTATGACGTCAATTTTTTTTCTTTTTTTTTTTCTTTTTTTTTCAGAAATATTGGACACCAAAGTCTTGACAGAGATACTTGTGGGGAGGGGTGTTGAAATCTGATGGTGGCAGACTGGGCAGACAAGTCAGGATGTTATGATCAAATAATGACCTCTTTGTGCTGTGGCATCTTGCTTTTGAGGAAATAAAATTCCCATCTCTCCACACCTGTGCCTTTCCTATTGCAGTAAAGAACAAAAAACGTGCAGTATTTCTGTGGAAGGTGAAGGGAAAATATTTTCCTGCATTAAATTGGAGTAAAGAAGTTATCTTCAACCATTTCTATTTCCCTCAAAGAAATAATGATTCCCAAAAAAGCTGTGTCTAAATTGTGTGACAGAGATGAATTTGAGCCTATTTTTGTAGTCATGTTGAAGGTTCATCCAGTTGATCCACATGTAAACAGACATCTTCTCCTTATAGATAGGAAGATACAGGCAGTCCAGGGTGATGCCAGGTTCTTCTGGGCTGCAGGCTATGGAGCCCATGCACCTCTAGCACTGCAGATCTTACCACATTGACTCCAGACAAACATCTGCAGTCTCAAATGAGTCAGAACACATACAGTTCTGGCACCACAAATTGTCTAATGCCAAGGAGCAATCAGGGAAAGTCAGTGAGAAAGAAACTTCGAGCTGAAATGAGCTCACTACTCTTCTTATCACCTTGGCTCTAGGAGGCTCCCTACTGCTTTCCTGCTAGAGCTTTTGACTGTGGTTTTAATTAATGACATATTTTATATATTATATAATAGAGAAAGTATTTTTCCACTGATTAGTTATGGTAATTTCTGGAAACAGCAATAAATAGTCTAGAAAAAAATACATGCTAGTACATTTGTCTGTGAAGACAGTTATGACCTGTCATATATCAGCGGGCTGTTATTGATCAGAATATTACTTTTATAACTTTATGTACTTTATGAACATTTACAACCTTCTTTCAGCTAATTAAAAGTCACTCTTCATAATAGACAATAATTTACTTCATAAAAATATATAGTCCCAGGAACACTGGTGAATAAATAGCCTCAATCTGTCCATGTTTATATCGACTTTTCCAGATCTTGAAGGCCTATAAAAACTAAACAAGCTGAGTGTGTGTCTTGGAAGGGTAAGAAAACTCTTTGTCATTCATCTTTGGCCATTGTAGTAAGTGATATGCCAGACAATTTGTCATTGAAGGAGAAAGGGAAGAAGAACACTCTCCCAGGAGAGAAACCTTCACTGTTTTCTCATGAACCACTTCAAGGTCTTAGCAATGATCTTATTAGCATGACTGCTACTGTTGTTCAGAGTTGTCCTGGGGCCATTGGACTGGAGCCATGGCAGGCAAACTGGGTTTAAACCAGTTCTGGTTTCTCTTAGCCTCTGACCTGCCTTGTGGATCACAGCTGGGCTGGACCTGAGCTGGCTCCAGTGGGACAGTTTCAGCTGCTGCTGGAGTCACAGCAAAGCCTGTGACAAACCAATTGTGTGTGGGTGAGAGAGAGCATGAGAGCTGGACAATCTTGCCTCAAAAATTTGTTTAATAGTACCAGTCCCAGTGGCAACCATAAGCCTTGTCTCTCTCTGTTTCTCCTCTCTGGTTTAGGAACCCTGGCAGTTGTTTTGTCCACAGTTATGGAACAGCTCCTGAGATGTGGAGGATCCTGCTCGTTCTGGTTTTCACCACCTGCAGCAAGCGGACATGAACCCACAACATCCTTAACTACATTCCAATCCAACCAAAACACAAGCACTAATCATATGGTTACAAAGTCCTTCGGCTGCTTCAGATGGAAAGATTTATGTCCTTAAAGACTTGGCCAGCCCATTATTGCTCATTCATTGTGTTTGCCTACAAGTTATGACTGCTCTTTCCATTTAATTTTTAATGTGGCCTTGCCTCACTAAGCTCCAGGAAAATTGTAAAGGCACTGGCTGTTGCTGTGGATCTATAATCTCTTGGCAAAAGCAGTGTGGGCAAGCAGAGTCCCTCCCCATTGCACAACAGTTCACAGCACCACACTCTGACCCTTATGCAAGAACCATGTTTTTCTTCAAAGCAACTGTGCAGTGCTCCAGTCAGATGCTTGAGCCAGAGAAAAGAGTAAAATTTCCCAGATGAGGCATATGGATTCAGTGAACATCCGAATCATGCATTGTGGGTCTACATGTGGTTTGTTGCTATTCATAAAGCTCATTGCTATGCTTACCTAGTGTTTCTCTTCTGTTTCATTTATACTGAGTGTTCATCATCTCACTATCAGTAGTCTAGGTCCTGAGGGGAACTTTAATAATTCTGGCCCTTGGATTTTAACCCAAAGCAGATTATATTACTATGATATTGGAATTTAGTGACTTAAGATGTTTTCCATTCCAGTTGTGTTTATTTAGGTAGCATATTTCAAACTGTCTCTTCATTCTAGCTTTCCAACATTTAGACCTCCTTTGCAGGTGTGCCTAAACTGTGAAGCCTGATGCCAACTATCAGCAAACCACCTACACAATGACCACCGTCCAAACCTGGGCAAATTTTTCACATATAGGCAGTAGATGGTTTGTCTGCTGCCAACAGTACAGTGTAAACTGAAATATGTGTGTAGATGCCTCTGCCCTGGAGCCCAGGTTATTTACCCAAAATGCAGGAGATTTCTGAATGCCTCTGAACCACCTAGAATTTCCAGAAAGGACTGGAGATGCTCAAAATGCCTAAGAAAAGGCAAGAATGGAGAGATGCTATTGCAAATCTGCATGGTCTGGGTTAAATTCCTTTCTTTCCCAAACAACTGCTTTAGGCCCAGCAGCTGCAGCATTTCTGGTAAAGTGCAAACCACATCAGAGGGGAGCAGCAGACACCCGGTTTTAGCAAGGACGTGGTGCCCAAGCTTCCATTCATCCCTCAGCAAAGAGACCCAGCATCTGTCCTTTCCCACTGGGGCCACAGTCTGGTGGCCCCTTCAAACCAAATGCCAAACACGAAATTCTGCTGACCATGCCATGAGCAAGCTGAACAGCAAAGAGCCCTCTGCTGAGGCACCAAGGTCTCATCCCATTCAATATTTCACAGGGACCACAACTTGCTTCTGCTGCAGTGGAAGCTGCTCCCTGGCATCCATCCCCCACTGGCTGCAGGGCAATGTGGGTTCCCCCAAAGCCACCTCAGACACCCAGGGCTGTGTCCTGCCCCAGTGCATGTCTGAATCACAGGAAAACCCAAGGCAGACCCTGTCTGGGGATGGAGTCCCCTTGCAAAGCCTCTGTTCCTACATGAGAGAGCTGGAGTGTCCCAGGCACTCGTGGGATGCCCAGCACAGGTCAGTCAGTGCAGGGAGCAGCTGCAGCAGCTCCAGCCCATGTCACCCTTGGCAGAGAGGCCATGGCAGAGGGAGAGAAAGCCAAGGTGCTGCAGCTGATAAATCACTCACAGTGGCTGGGGGACCCCATGAGTGAGGGAGTGAGAGGTGGCCTGAGCTCCTTGTTTCTCCTCCACTGCCTGCCAGTGCTGTGCCAAGAGCACGGCCACAGGAACCATTCATTCCCTGCTTTGTGCATTTGTGGGCACAGCCTTTGAGGCCAGGAAAGGCTGTTTCCTTCATCTGTCCTTAGCTCCTTCTTCATGCAGCACCACACCTCACATGACCCACAGGATCCACAGCCTGGCTGTTGTAGATATTCAAAGTCCAGTTGGACCCAACAGGAGTCAACATTTCCCTCCTTACTCTCTGTTTGCAGTTTCTCACCATGGGCAGCAAACTGCCTGATTAATAATTACAGCAATTAACTTTCACCAGATAATAGGGAAAAAAAACATCAGATTAGGTTTGTCGTTGATAATCTGGGGTCATCAAAAACATCAATGTAGCCAATAAAAAATGAAAACACCATTCCTTTGTTTATCAAATGAGTTATTAAGTGTTTTATGCATCAAAGTCTATGCACTGTGATATAAAATTGAAAACGAAGAGAATTCAAATAGCTTGTCTCTGTCCATATAGTGGTGGTGACATATGTCTTCCATTCATTGTTAACTCTTAGAAATTACTATCTTGTGAGAAAATTTTGAGTGAAATTATTTTCAGAGATAGAAAGACTTTTTTGTAGGGTCCACATTATTTCCTCATGACACCTGTGTACTTTTTGAATTTAGAAAATCACCTTTGTGTCAAAAATCCACCCATTGGAGATACAGGTTATGGTTAAGGATAATATTTTCAAACCTGATTGTCCAAAATGAAACCTCTAGAAGGAGAAAGTAAAAAGAACTTAAATCAAGGGCCTAACAATTTATCAGAAATATATGTATTTGTTTATTAAAAGGAGCTTGTGCATTAAGTCTGTGGATGAGAAAGAATAAGCCAAAGTGTCAGAGAAGTCCTCAACAGCAGCAAATCAGGATTCTCTAGTGAAAATTTGCACTCCACCTTCCATCCAAGAGTAATCACATAGATAAATGGTGGGAAGGAGGGAGAGACTGTCATGCTTGCAGCTGGTAAAGAGACACATTGGTGTCATCACATAAACTTACAAATGTTGTTGTCCAAAAGATCTAAAACTTTTTAGTATATATCAACACTGTTCCTCTATACATATTCTTTGTTTGTGGCACCATTATGCTTTCTTAGTGAGAAATTATTATGGAACAATTAAATTTGAATCATCTTGCTCCTGGGTTGACTATATCTTGGGCATTAATCCTCTAAAAGTGCTGTGAATATAATAATTGGCAATGCCTTATGAAAAATAAAGGCCACTATAAACTTATATATTTATTTGCATCTTTTAGATTATAGCATTGTGATAAAAGCTTGAGGAGAGGATATTTTCTAAGTGACAGACAGAGATTAATGACTTTGACTTGTCCTTTGGCCATGCAAGCTCCTCCCAACTGGTCATCAATTCCCAAGAAATATGGGAATTGTCTGGAGTGTTTTTGGTTTAACTGTACTTTTAATTCCATGCCAGCGGAGTGGTGCCTCTTGCATTACCAAGACACCTCTTGAGCAACAGCTTTACACCCTCCCACTTTATTTGTGCTTATATCTTGTCCCAGAAGTCAGAGAGGGGATTTACTCTGACAATCATTTCATAACAAATACAGCTGCAAGGGCAACAGAAGAAAGCTGGGAACCCAAAGCTACTAGACCATGACAAAGGTGCACCCAGGAGCTGACAGGGGGTGGAGATTGCAGGTGCATAAAGGAGCACTAACTCCTGGTGCTGCTCCCCAGCCCCTCCTGAGCTCCCTGCACAGAGCTGGCTTGTCTGCACAGCACCAGGCAGTGCTGTTGAGCCACCCAAGGTGTGGGCATGCCTGTTCCTGGCTCAGGGATTAGGCAGGGAGAAGGTCTCAGCTGTTGGCAGATACTCTGCTAGCTCGCTTGAGGTGGATTGCTCAGGTATGTTCCTCAACTTGCTCCAATTTGCAGCCAAATACAAAATCTGAGTCAGTCTAAGGCAGAGTAAATTCCATAATAATGATGTGTTTGAGAGTTAGATGTGCTGATCCAATGGCAGAAAGGCACAGAAGTCACTGTTCAGGCTGTGCTTTAGAGCAAGAGTGGGGAATGGTGCTTTCATGTAGCTGTAGGACACAGCACTGCGAGAAAAACTGGAGCAAGGTACATTTCTTTTTACTGATATGTCTTTATTTCCTAACCCACAGACTTTGTTGATGTTGTTGACAATGATTACATGTCAAATGGAATCTGTATCCTCATCCAGATCCCCATTTTAAACAATTTTACATGGGGGATTTTTTGATCCATCCTTTCCCAAAGGCAGTAGTTATCATTTTGTATAAACATGTGGGATTTACAGGTGCTTACCTCGCTGTGTAATGCTGATGCACAACTGCTCAGTAATTGAACAGTGTAGTGATGGCCAGGACAAGGTGACCTGTAAATGATGTACACTTTGTACCTGACTGTGTCATCAAAACATAATGGAGCACTTTGCACCTCTTCTGTGTCCCCTGATCACCGCCCTTCGAGCCACTTTGTCAGCTCTGACGACCAGACAGGAAAGGATGCTCGTGTTTTATAGTGAAATAATCCAGAAAGGAAATGCCTGATGGAATGAAAGACTGCTTTGTTGGGTGAGTTAAGAACAGTTACAACTGATACTGTACTAGAAGCCTTTGCTGGATGCAAAGTTCATGCTGACTGAACTTTGGATTTTTTAAGTTCAGGTTGACTGCTGAGTCTGGATTTTCTGCAAATTAAGTTTAAAAAAACCCAAACCACCTCTCAACCAGAACTGGGAATAGCAGAAATATCAATATATTACAGAACTGAAACCAAGTTGTAACATGGATTTTAGGATGCAGAATCACTCACACAAAGCTTAGTAATTATAATCATGGGCCCAGATACATATCTTGGCTACTGTAAGGGTGAAAAAAAAAGCTTGTCTTAATTATTATATATTATATATTTAAATTATTTATATATTACAAATATAATTTCATAAATAGGTACATATTTGTCACTTTGCTGTAAGGAACAGGTTGGCTAGAGAAAAATTTCTTGACAAAAGCTTCCAGGGATCCTCACTAAAGAGCTGATTTACCTGTTTCCAGCACGAACACACAGGCCCAGCATAAACCAGTTAATGCACATTGTTATCACTTGTTCTACAGCAGTAACCAAAGCTCTCAGCCATGATCAAAGACTTGTTCAAGATCGTGTAAAAACCTGCTACAAGACAGGATTCTCTGCCAGCTCCCCCTGAGCATTTTTTCTTCTGTTTTTCCTCTTTCCACAGGAGTATTTCTAGCTTTAAGGTTAGAAACAAACCATAATGCTTGTGAGCAGATAACAAATGGCTCCTCCAAAAGAGAGGAGGTTGGGGTGGGGAAGGCAAGGGCAGAGGAGGGGGACTTCCTCACAAGCACTGCTAACCTGCAGGAGAGATGTAGCAGCCAATTAACCTCTGCAACACGGGGTTTTCATGAATTGCTATAAAAGGGAGTGATGAGATCACTGCCAGAGCTGGACCTGGACACTGCCATGAGGTTCTGTGCAGGAAGGATAGCTCCAGACACAGAGAAAATAGCTTCAGGGTCTTCTGTCCTTAAAGAGGGGGAGGGAGAAAGGGCAAAAAGCATCTGCATTA